TCTCTGTGAACTCTCCGTGATTCCAGAAGCAGCTGTGATAGATGTGCAAGTGCTTTGAGAGGTCATGCCTTCATCACTAGCCTAGGAAAAAAGTAAAAGCCTTTTCAGTCCTTTCAAGGAGCTTCAGCTTGTCTGCCTCGGGCTGAGAATCCAGCTCTGTTCAGAGGACTGCGGTTTCTGCTCTCAAAGGGGTACTGAGGCTTGATCTTCAGGGAGCAGAGGCTTCTGCCTCTTGTTCACATGACCTTCCCCTGGTTGTATTCTCTTCTCATCTGCTTGGTTAAATACTTGATCAGGTTTAACGAATAGAATGAATCACCCTCTTTCCTTTTGTTAATCCTACTCCCTAGGACCATGCTGTGGCCAGTTTTTGGTTGCTAGGCAACTCCACTGTGTGTGTATATTTGTGTGTTGTGTGTAAGTTTCATGCACTTGGGTACACATATGTAGTGTTATATATGTGATCCATATACACATATGTTATGCATGCAGTCAATATGTAGTCTATAGTATATCCACGAGTGTGGTATGTACGTTATTTTGTATGTGTTATGTTTCATATTTGTTTCATACTTTTTCATGTTGTTGTATGATATATGATGTGAATGTTATGTGAGTTGTATATGTGTGTGTGTGTGTGTGTGTGTGTGTGTGTGTTTTATGTCAACATATTCCATAGACAATCTGGTCATTTTCTTTGATGGGTCTGCTCTATGTTACCCTTGTTTATCCTCAGTTTGGGAGGTCTGATCTGATGAGATCCCACTTTCCCACTTCTACCGGTATCTCAGAGTGGTGAAGTGCATAGTATGACCCTGGACCTAATGACTGGCTCATTATTCCTCTACAAATGGCTGCCTGCTTTCTGATAGCTTATCAGCCATTTGTCTTGGCGAGACATCTCTGGAGGCCTTTAACCTTCCTCCTGACTCATCAGTCTCCACTTTCATTATGAGTTGTGAACTCACATTCTTCCTTGTGTGATCTTTCTTTCATAGCTATTGCTTCAACTGCAGAGGCACATCAGCTGAACAAGTGTGTAAATGTTCCCCATCATTAACAGATATCTGAACTCCAAATTCACCAGATATGTTTTAACCCTGTATAAATTGTGTAATTATAAGCAATTTTGAATATCATTTCGTATTTGAAATTCACTTTCTGTAATTCAGCCCCCCAGATCTTCATGTTTTTTTCTCCATTTTCTTTTTCAGCTTATTATAAAGAATAAGTTCTCATTATTCCTCTTTGTTCTGTACTTATTGTCTCTGGCTGACCCACACCTGCACATTTAGCCTCAAGTTCTTCCTCATGAATGAGCCACAAGTATAACTAGAACAACTCAGGCCCTCCTGGGTGCAGGTCGAGCCAGCCTGCTTCAGCTTCACATGTGCAGATCAGGTGCTATCACCTGCCCTAAGCTGATCTCCCCTTTCTCCCTGACACTACATGTGCCACTACTCAGCCAGAAACCCAAATAGAGTGTTTGTTTGCCCTGTAATAAGAAAAAATACCATTTCCTTCAGAGTTGAACAGAGAACAAAACAGAAAAACAAAGCTAGGAATTTTATAATGTAGATTTTAGTAGGCATTCAGATGACATTTCTTTATTCTGACTTTAAAAAAAAAAACAGAAAAATAAACAACCCCATTCAAATGCCCTGAAAGTTGAAGTCACAGGTTACTTTCAGATGGGAAATTTTGGACAGAAATTTCTGTAAAAGCCACAAAATTATAATATTTAGACAACAAATCAAGAACAAAACCTGTACCTCTATCAACTCTTGGATAATTAATTATTTTATAATTTCTCTTGTATTGATGTTAAGAAATCTGTGAGGTTGGACCAAAAAAAAAAAAAAACCACCTCATTTTCTCAACATTTCAGATAAGGAAACTATTTCTGGTGAGTTCTGGAACTTTGCTAAAGTAATCCAGGTTTTGGTATAGCCTCCCAAGGCTGTGCTCTCTGTCACTTGTGATTGGCTAAAACAAGTAAGTAGTGGTATGTAGTCCAGTTGAACCTATGAATAGGTGACCAGCCAGCTGACTTCAGAGCAAGAGTCACTGAATCAGAGGCTGTCTCACTAGCAGGGTCCTTGATGATATTGGGATTTATGGTGGCTTGTAAGATAAAGAGAGATTTGAGAGGAAATTATGGAGGCACACTAAGCTAAGTGGGAAGTATGGTATGCAGAATTGGATAAAGGGAAGGGATTCACAGGAAGACTATAGAGAGTATTTGCTCATATTCACTTGAATATGTTTAGAAGAGTAGGTAGAATGCAGAGCCAAGCAACAGAGCTATTTAACTGCACTAATCTTGGTATTTTGTAGTATGTCTGTAGCAAATCTCAGGTCTGATCTGATCATAAAATACTCTCTGACATTGGAATCATCATCATTGATATCACCATCATCATCTTCATCATCATCTCTCTTTTGGAAAAAAAAAAAAGGTTAGAAAAATCATAATACTCAGAGTAGAGAATCAGATGATGGTCATGTTCCAAGGTCAATTAGCATAGAAACAGTAAGCATAAGTTGAGGACCATAGAGGTTTTCAGTTCATTTACCACAACACACTTAGCTTTACTTAGTCTTTGTTCTTTGCTCTGAGAAGTGGTGCTGATGGTGTGGGACTTGCAAATGCTGAAGGTGGAGATGCTCTGCAAGATGTAATTTACAGACCTAGAGAGTAAAAATGTTCATGAGTTTTCAGTGCTGCTTCCTTTCTGACCCATGTTTTTCAGCTTTATCTCGTCGAGGAACCATTTTTCTCCACTGCTGATGCAAAGCTGGTCAGATCACCAAAGCTGAACCTGTATCAGCTAATGTGTCCTCCCTTCCTGCAGAGGAGGCTCGGGATGTTTGTAGAGCTGTTCTCCTCTTCTGGGTGTCAGAATGTCAGAGGGGGAAGTCAGATCTCATGGGTCAAACTCTTCTTTTTCCAGAGGAGGGCATGAGGTGTTTGCAGCGGTGAAGTGCAGTTTGCCCAAGTCACACAGGCAGTTAATGGAAAAGTCATTTCTAATAAACCATCTGTGATTTTCTCTTGGAGACCTTTAGCCTCCCTCTAGGCTCTTCCTGTTCAATCAAGTATATCCACACAAAGGGAAGAGAACCCCTTCTAGGCCTCCGTGCTTGAAATTCTGTGTTTCATATTGTGGTCTAGGTCCGGATCCAGAGAGGGGATGGAGTTGAACCAGCACCTGTCAGATTCAAAGTGTGACTGAAGACAATATCAGGACCCTTCCCCTTATAGAGAGAGCATATCAGTAAAGATGCTCCTTTTTTTTTTATTGGTATCAATAATTTGGCAACTGTAATTGGCATTGGCATGAGACACTGATTACTTTTAAAAAACAGAAAGAAAAACAGTCAAAAGTCATCATCAGAGTAACTAAAGGTCCTTGGAAATTTCTAATGTACCAAGGCGTGGGCTTTACAACATTCTAGTTAATTCTTTTGAAAACAGCATATGGCAGTCAATAGTGTGATTGTTACACAAAAAGGCTGAGCCTAAGCTGGCTTAACTTAAGACAGCATCATGAAACAAAAGAATTTAAACTAAGATTGTTCAGTAACTGCTTTCCTGTCAACACACTACAATGTACTCAGGGCAAGAAAGGGAGAAGCATTCCTTTGGGTACTAGAATTTTCAGCTGATCAAGACATCCATGATATAAATACCTGTTATGGATAGAGATAGCATTAAAGGGCTGATCCAGATGCGTCAGTGTTTCACCATTCATTTTTTTCTTCCATTTGAAAGGGAATATAACAGACTAGAATTTTAAGAAAGTGAAATATAATTCACATTTAAATTTGGAATTTGTTGTAATTTGGCTCTTCGTTAGGTGACGCCAATAGCCCATCACTGGTATCTAATTCCCTCTTCTCCAAATATGGGTGTGAAAGCTGAAAATATGATAAATGGGAGGATGGAGAATAAAGAGACCCCACAATGACTGTTCTTAAGATTCTTGGCTACACACAGTTTGGATAAACAGAAGTGATGGCTTGGGGTGGACTGTCAAACACAGAGTATTTATGGAGATACAGAAAGGAACGGGGACTTGAAATAGATTTCCATGTAGGTGGGAGATAAGACTGATGACATGTCTGGGAAGGAAGAAGATGCTTCATGAACAGGAGTCCACATGCTCTATCTCCATTCTCTTCACTAAGGAAGACTGAAAGAAACAGATCATTTCATTTGCCCAGAGGATGAGACATGGCAAACTACTGAGCCTAATTATGAAATCTGAAGGGTGGATGCTAATGTAAGACTCATGTGCTTTCTGATCACTCATTCCTAAAATAATTTTAACCTCAGTTTATGCTCTAGTAAACATTTAAATCCCTCAAAATACAGTTTTGTCTCTTTTGGAAATGTGAGAGAATTGTTATTCTTTCTTCTCTTGCAATTAATCATGGGCACGTGACCACGGAAAAGGCAGGCTGCCATTCCCAGGAAGCACACCTTTGAATCATTTCACAATTGCTATGTTGCCTTTCCCTCTCTTACCATAATCTGCAATAATTTAGAATGAGAAGCTCTGCCTATCTGGGACCCAGAGTGAGACCAAAACAGAGAGTGATACTTAATGATCACTTAATGGGAACTGGAAGTACATCTTTCTTGTTTTAACATTTTAGAATTTGAGACTACTTGTTACTGCAGCATGATCTGCATCATCCTGATGAGTGTGCAGGTAGGAGTGCACATTTGCATCCTCATTATTGAGATACTCCCAGGCAGGATGGCTGACAACACCTCATGGACAGAGCACCATCAAAGGGACAGCGACAAAAATGAAAACAGCAACAGAATCAGCAGCAACAAGCACAATGATAGCTCCATGCCAGCCCAGCCCTCTGGCGTCTGTGGCAATTACAGTAACCAAAGGGGCTGTGTTGTTTTTTCCATGAATTCACTGCTGTTTAAAAGCAGGAACTGTCTATCTCCTATCATTTCTCGACAGCTTGTCCTTAGGGTGAAGGAACAAGGGCTTCTACAACACACTCCATTGGCTGGGTTTATAATGTTCTGCCTCACTCTCTCTGCCCTGAAGTGAAGCTGAATTGTAAAATAGGGCCAGTCTTATCTTGGGCAGCCATGCAACAATAGTGTCTGGAGGTGAGTGCTAAAATATGTCTTGGGGCTTTGGGAAATGTTTTTAATTCAACATTCTGTGATCATTGGCCAAAGGTTTTTGATAGTGTCCTTTAGGAGTCGCTGAACATGAAAAGAAACAGAAGAGGAAAAAAAAAAACTACTTGAATCCAGGTATTTTAAACTAACAAGTAGACAAGCAAACTTCTAGACAATAGTCTACAAAATCATTAGAGGGGTGTCTATAATCTATAATCTCTGTCTCTGTCTCTCTCTCTTTCTCTCTCTCTCTCTCTCTCTCTCTCTCTCTCTCTCTCCCTCCCTCC